AGTAGGTCCCCCGCCCGCCCGCCCCTGCTCACCTCGGCCAGGCCTGGGCGCCCTGCTCTTGCTGCAGCTCAGTCTTCCTCTCAGCCCTTCCCCTTTCTGCTCTCTCCTTCCGCCTTGTTTTCTTTTTGTTTAAGATTTATTTATTTATTTGAAAGAGTAACACACAGAGAGAAGGAGAGGCAGAGAGAGAGAGAGGTCTTCCATCCACTGGTTCACTCCCCAATTGGCCGCAATTGGCCAGAGCTGCACCAATTCAAGGCCAGGAGCCAGGAGCTTCTTCCAGGTCTCCCACTTGGGTACAGGGACTCGAACTGGCACCCATATGGGATGGCAGCAGCTTTACTCGCTATGCCACAGCACCGGCTCCTCTCCTCCCACCTTTAAAACACATCATGTAGGGGCTGGCAGAACAAGTAAAGCTGCTGCCTGCAGTGCCGGCATCCTATATGGGCACCAGTTCGAGTCCCAGCTGTTCCACTTCCAATCCAGCTCTCTGCTGTGGCCCGGGAAATCAATAGAAGGTGGCCCAGGTCCTGGGACCCTTGCACCCACATGCATTGTAGACATTTGGGAAGTGAGCCAGGGATGGAAGACCTCCCTCTCTGTAACTCTGCCTTTCAAATGATAAGTAAATCTTTTTAAAAACACACCGTGTAGCCCATAGTCCTAGACTTTGGGGGAGGGTAGACAAGGAAGGAGTGGTGGTGGGGGCACAGTGCTAGGAGGTTTCAGTAAGTGGTCTCAGTTTCTCCTCCAGCACCCTGTGTGGCTGCTGTCCCCACCCACACCTTATACCTGAAATGGGGGTGGAGAAATGACGACAGAGGTGACCTGGGGCTGAGGCGCAGCAGGACCAAGTCCTGTCGGTGGAGGACCAGGGCCAGGGCTGTGATCACGGCAGCGGTAACGGTTGCAGAAATGCACCGTGAGGTCTGACGCACTGAGTCGGCAGTGCAGGCTGATGGAGCGGAAAAGACAACGAAGACCAAGAAACCTGGCAGGCAGAGAATCTGCAGGGGCTGGTACTGTGCAGAGTGGGTTAAGCTGCTACTCCCAGCTCTCACTGTGAGGCCATGACAAAACACACCCAACACCAGAGTTAGAGGAAAGGGTGGGGGAAACCCGTCAGGCCAGGGGGAGAG